TAAGCCATTCCAGGAACAAAAAACCTGAAGCACTACTGACATTTCGTTGTGGGGGGTCATATCTGCAGGAGGCAAGTGCCATATTTTCTTTTGTTTTTAAAGAAAGGAAAATTAAAATCCTGACACAGAGTGTCTCGGTACTCTTTAACTTAGGCTGAAGAATGCTACAAATAAGGCACTCCACTTAACGTGGTGCTTGCTGTGTTCACTTTCCAAATATAGAAGATAGTGAAAAATACCATGGAGACGTCAAGATTTGACTAGACTCTACCGTTCATATTGTTCTTAAACACTGGCTTTTAAGCTACAGGCATAATAGTCTATACTAAAGGATGTTCTTAAGGGCTCTGTGTAGCAAATTAATTGTGTGGTTTATCACTGGGTTTCAAATGTTTTGTGAAGGAAAACCTGTTCAACTATTTACTAATTAACAACTGACTGTAATAGGGTCAATTACTAATGCTGACAAAGAACTTTCTCCTTATTATGAATGTGAAGCTCTCTGTCTCTTCAAGCCAGGCGTCAGCGCAATAATATATATTAAACAAGCTGTTGATGAAATAATGTTTCAGATATCACTTCTGAATGAGCACATTTGACTGCAGAAGTGAAGGGCATGAGCAAAGCATATGCTACATAATCCCCCACTAAAAATTAGGTTTTCAAGAAGTTTAAAGAAGTGCCACCTACTCAAGAAGCACGTAGGAGGTACCATAAAAAGAAGACAAAAACACTATTAATGGGACTTATAAGGAAGAGAGGGCAAAAAAATGACACCTGAAAATCCCTAGCACTTTATATGGCACTTGTTATCTTCAAAGCATTGCACACATGTTACCTAATTAATCCTCACATTTTTCTGCCAGGTGCTAGGAGACGAAGCTTAATTTTAATAGTTGGAGCGAGATTCACACAGAAAGGAAGTGATCTGCAAAAGGAAGGCAGCATCAGAACAAACTGGCATGCAGCTGATCCTAGAGCAGCTCACAACCACCCAGTCATGGAGTGCCATATCCTGGAAAAGTGAGGAGGGGGAGAGAAAGAGTCTATTTGCAGTCACCCAGCAAACAGGCTGCATGACTCTAAACCCACAGACAACAGACAGGACATCATCAAGTCAGTCACAAATGAGACTACCTTTGTTATCTGTGTTCTGCATTGTACAATTCACAGCATCCTCCACAAATGCTACCAACTAGCACAGCGCCAAAACTAAAACTTGCTCTGCCATCACACTTTTTAGCCACTCACAAGCTTGAAAAAGCAACAGGATCAAGGTAAACAATAACTTACTTCCAAAGTGACCCTGTCTGCATGAAGAAATTTGAGGCAACGCTAGTTTGTGTAATGCAATTTGCAACCAGAATCACGGAGCTTCTCCATTCAGACCTCCAACCACAACTCTGAAGAAAAGCCTCACTACCTCTGTTTTACTGAAACAGAGGAACTGCATCACCAAAAAGCATAAGAAATGGTCAACAACAGAACAAGCAGCTCTTCCATCACCAACTGCTCATGACACCATGAACTCACTGCTGGGCAGAAACACCATTTTTGATGACCACACCACCACTGTGGCAATATCCCAGGGCCTCTGAAGTAAACAGGCACTTTGGCACCAAAGTCAGTGGATTGAAAACATCACTCCATAAGGTATGGAGTTGAGCAACAAAGCCAATGTTTGATTTGCGAAGGGCATCTGAGGAGACAGAGCATATCCCACGTCATCATTTTACAAATCAGTATTTTGAAGAGGGAACAGATAAAGTAGGAATGGGGCAGGAGGACAGCAAGTAAGGGATTTGTCTCTGCAATACCCTCCCTCTGACTGCCACAAAACACTTTTCAAAGAGGCTCCTGTGGTTCAAACAGTAACTGGATGGGAAGAGACACGCCTGAATTCAAGCCCAAATGCCACCACAGGAAACAACACCTGAGCACTACAGTGGAGAAGCAGTGCACACACCCTGCCTGCAAACTCATCGGAGGCAAAGCCACTGCTGCCACGCTGCAGAGCCAACTGCAACACAGAGTGAATCGTGACCCAGCCTTCCCTGCAGGCCTGGATTCACAAGTCAGCGTCAGTGCTCACCGGTGCATTCCTGTACCTTACTGGCAAGGAGACAGAAGTGCTTGAGGAGCTGGAAGTCTCAAACATTCCATCCAAGCCCTTCTTTGGAGGCACTGAGTTTGAATGGCACCAGGTCAAGAAGCCTGGTCCCCAAAGGCAGGCAGGCAGGCAGGCAGGCAGGCAGTCAGACTCTTGACTCAGTTTCTCTGTCATTAAGCCAGCACTCGGAAGACAAACTGATCTTTGCCACGCTGGCATGACCTGATATTCACCGGTGTTTGCAAAGCAAACGTACCCTAGATGCATGATCCTGATGGAAGTAGTGGCTGCTTTCTGCTGGGGCAAGGACAGTACCTGAGGAAATGCAAATCCGCTGTGGCATAAAACTCCTTCACAATGCCTTGAACAGTAAATTCAGTCTTTTCAGAATGAAATACAGTCAACCACTTGATATACCAAACAAGGAAGTATCCGTAAAGTTAATCTTCAACTTCCTTGTGACTCTCCAGCTCATTCAAGAAATAAGACTTTACAGCAGGCAGAGATCACTGCAGCATCTTCCTCATGTGTGTGTCACATATCCACAGTGATGCTAAAGATAACAAATTAACATTTTCCTTTAGAAGATACTGAAATGTTTTCTTCATCCAGCCTTGTAGGTTTCCTTTTCCATATGCAGGAAGTCTTACAGAGATAAGGATTTCAATTCTTGGAAGCTACTTCCAATTTTGGGTCAAGAAATGAGCCCTATTTTTCAGGAGTGCTGTGCTTGCACAACTCTAGCTGCTGTCTCAGGTACATTGCAAGTATTCAGCACTTCCACAGAAAAACCCAAACAAACAAAACCCAAAATACATTTGGGTGCACGAGAAAGAACAGGCTGGAAGGAAAGAACCTTCTCACTGACCTACCAAGCAGCTGGCATTACCTTCACTTTAACTTTACACACTGAGAATGTCCTGATTTAACAGCCTCAGTGACTTTTTAAACATTGACTCAAGAAAAATTTAAAAGCAGGTTTTGCAATGTCACAGCTGTAGGCTAGTTTTTCAATCCTGCAGTACAGTGAGTTACATATTTCAAGATGAAAAATCGCACCTTCAAGTGCAAGATAATGCAAATTGGAAGAAATAATTTAAACTACTTGTACACAGCAAAGGGGAAAGAATTAGCTGAATCAACAGCTCAATGAAGACATCTGCTCAGCATGCAGCATCACAGAGCAAATAAAATGCTGTAGCAAATTAAGAAAGGTAAGAGAGAATAACGTGGATAAATTAAAATGGCTTCGTATAATTTCACTGACAGTAGCAGGCCCGCTCTGCTCATCTCAAAGATACCAGCTCTGCAACATGACTGGTCCAAAGAGAGCAACTGGAATAGTTAGGAACAACAGATTTGTATGAAGAAAGTTGGGGAAAAAAAGACAACAAACTTTTAATCTACAAAAAGAAATCACAGAAAAATATTTACATTAACATAAAATTAATGATACAGTAAGATAAGGTCTGACACTCACAGTGGCTATAGTAGGAAATACCAGAAATAACTCAATGTGTTTAGTTATGTTGAATGAAGGGAAAATTCAGTCTACTTGTAACTCTGCTTGGTCCACAGTATATACTTAATCCGAGGAATGCACTGCCACAAGTATCATTGAGAAAAGTACTGTATATATTAAAGATGAGTCATGGGGATAAAAAGCCACACTGAGACCTCTCCAACATTTTAGGGAGAGTTCAGCCTGACTTCAGTTTTACTTAAGATCAATAAAGTGCATATACCAGAGGTCTGTGCTTCTAGATGAAGCTTAAAACAAAACAAAAATTGTTCAGGATGTATAGCATTTCTTTTCCCTACTCCTGAAGGAGCCGACAGCTATGTCCCTGACAGAGGCAAAAGGCTATATCAGACAGGGCTGATACTTTCAGTCCCACAATGGTAATTCTAATATTAGTACAGAATAAGCATAGGGCAATTAGCAATTCCACACTTGATTTGTATGAATTAGATGAGCACTCCTCGGTCATGCATTTCCAAATACATTTCAGATCACTTGTGCGTAAAAAAATTAACGTAATTTTTCATTAATTATTAACTCCGTTCGTCCAGGCAGAAGGATGAACTGTAGTCCATGACAATAATGTGAATAAAGCAGTGCTTTAAAGCACGGCTTCGCCAATCTTTCGAGCTATTTATGCTAAATTCTGTAGATTAAAAAAAAAAAAATCAGACTTCAAAATATTTCTGGAAGTCGAGGAGCCTCCCTGAGGTAAGCAGTGCTCTACTTAGTGTAATGCCAACGAAACATACCCCGGTCCTCCGGAATGCGCCGAGATGGAGAGCGCCACATGCGAGGGGCGCAGGGGCGGGGGGTGCCCGGGGCGCACAGGTGCACAAAGCCGAGCGAGCCGGCTCCGCTGCGGCACGGCCGCCGCCGGGGAAACCCTCGGGAAACCCTTGTGGAAACCCTCTGCCGCCGCACAAGCCTTCCACGCGAAACTTGGGAGCGAAGCGCCCGCCGGCCGGAGCCGCCGGGGCCGGGGCAGCTGGGGGGCCCCCGCCCGCAGCCGCTCGGGGAGACACCGCCGCACGCCGGGGTGCGCTCCCTCCGGGCGGCTTTCTGGGACACCGAGGGAAAGGGAGACGGGGAAGCCGGAGCGCGGCACGCGGGCTGACGGCTGCGGAGACACCCTGGCGGAGCGCTGCCGGAGCCCGGCCATGCCGGGCTGTGCCGAGCCCAGCCGAGCTCGCCCGCGGCGGCGGCGGCTGCGGGCGGCGGGCGCAGCCTCCGCGCCCGGCCCGGGGAAGGGGGGCCGTCCCGCTCCCAACTTTTCGCCCAACTCCGGCGGCCGCGCCGCGCCCCTGCCCCGGCCCGGGGAACGGGGGACACCCCGCGCCGCCCCCGCCGCCCCCCGGCGCCACTCACCGCCAGGCCGAGCAGCAGCAGCAGCGGCGGGAGGCGCCGCGCAGCCCCCGCGCCCTGCCCCGGCCGTGCCATCCCGCCGCCGCCGCCGCCCGCTCCGCTCCGGACCCGCCGCCGCTGCGGCTGCTGCCACGTCTGGCGGCGCACGCGCGCTCCGCCGCCCCCGCCCGCCCGCGCCGCGGCATGACGGGGGCTGTAGTCCGGCCGGCCGGCCCGAGGGACGCCCGGCCCTCCCTCCCCGCCCCGAGCGCTGCGCGCCTCGCACAGCGAGCCCGTCCGTGGCAGTGAACACCTCCGTCAGACCGCCAAACTACTGCCGGCAACCGCAAGGCAATGTCCGTCCAGTTCGTTTTAACAGAGATTAAAAAGTTGCGGCTCTTCTCTCCCACGTCCCACTGGCCTCCCCTCTGGGGTTAGTTCTCTGTGCATCTCCCCTTGTCTCCCAGCGTGTACCTTACTCCAGATAGCTTTATGGCAAACAGCCTCCTTCTCGATGCCTGTTTGTCAGGGATTTCAAAAGCTTTAGCTGGTCTTACATCTGGAGTAAGAAGTGAATACCCTTATCCACCACAACAAATAATGAATGGGGAGAAAGTGAATTGTTAGAGTGGCTCAGAAACTAGCACCTATTTTTCTTGTAAGTTGTTTCCGCTCATTATCATTAAATCCTAAAAGTGAACTCTGTTCATCCTCATGATGCCAAAGTGCAAACAAATAAATACGCTCTGTCTGACCAGGATCAATTTGTGCACCCTCCATTATAATCACAGTATTGGAATGGGTGCTGCATCCAGACAAACAAATTGGTCTCTGCCCTTAGTCAGGCGCATCCAGCGAGCCAGCTGTGCCTCGCAAGGACATCTCAGATGTCCTGCCACTCATCTTAAGGTCAAAGCGGGTCAGCCATGTTATAATTGGCTTCCACAAACAGAAGGGATCTTCACCTACCGCACAGTGGCTGTGTGAAATTCTTCATTGGCTCAGAAACATCAAAGGAAAATCAAAGGCGTCTTTTCGAGTCTGATCCTTACAGCTGACTGTCACCCGAGCCTTAGACTAAGAGACTGGCTGCGAGGGAGCAATTTGTAGATCCACACAGCTGACTGATCACTTCAAGTGGTGATCATGAAAACTGAATGACGTTGACATTAACAAGTCCCCTGGTGGAGATATAATTTTGCAAAGCAGAAACACACATAGAGAAAGTTATTACTATTAACATTTACACTTTCGTAGCATCTTTTGCGGCAGAACCGGAGCGCACTTTCTCGGTCACAGCTGGATAACCTTTAGCAAATCATTTCACAGTGCTATGCCTCACTTCCCATTTGCAGAAGGCCTCGGTTAGCCTGCCTTAAAACAGGGTTAGCAATCCTCAGCTCACACTGAAATGACAGTGAAAGCACACATGAGGTACAGCCCAGGAGCCATCAGAAGGAGTTTGGGATTAGGAGGGACACAAGGCTGAAGGGAGACTTCAGCAAGGAAAAAGTAGGAATCTTTTCACTCTACAGTTAAAGGACCCAAACCAAAACATCCTTTGTGTCAAATACCTGTACCCTCAACATATATGCTACCTGCACTGCCACTTCTCACCTGCAGTCTCTACTGACTGCACTGGGATGGCTGGCTGGGTGGATGGATGGATGGAGGGGTGTACTGCTTTAGTTACCACCACTGCTGGTGCCAACTTCCCAGATTGTAATAATCAGCCTGCTAGCAAAAGGCTCTGGATCCCCAGTTGAATCCCAGTTCAAATAAGCTAACAAAACCTCCAGGAATAGGTAACCTCTTCTAGATGCTGTTCACCTTCACATCCCCAGCCTAGAGCTGAAAGGCTTCTGCATGCAACTACCCTGACTCATCCAGACCTCTAATCTCAGTTGGATATCCAGATCCTCAAAGACTGTTTGAGTCCTCCTGTGACTCTTTTGTGTAGAAAAATGTTATATCTTCTAACACTTCACATGACAGTTATCAGTATCAGGCAATGTAAAAGTAACCTCAATGTGGTGAAATATCTGTGCTGTGTCATAACCATACAGGATGTGCTGCCATTGTGATAGGAAAGGATAAAATCGTGGGACATGGTTGTTTTGTCACAGCAGTACATTTTTATCATGATGGCAAGAACAAACATTCTCAGGAAGAAAGAAAAAAAGAAGACAAGCTATTTCAAACCGAGCTTCTGAAAGGTTATATAAAAAATCCAGTTTGGGAAGCTGCAATTTTTATATATAGAAGAATATAGAAAAGGTATCCATGTGGCAACTACAGCTTCTTTCTTGCAGTTCAGCTCGATAATTTGTATTGACATGACAGGCATTGCCAAAACTGAAGAGACAAGATCATTGAGCATCTGTCACAGGTCAAAATAATATATCAAGTATCAGCTCTAGACAAGGCTTTACACAGTGGCAACTACTTAATCAATCCAGTCGTGCATTACTAATGAACTCATTACACTTGTATCTCAGTGCACTGCTATCCAGTGTCCCAAGTTTACCCTGTATCTGCTTGACATTAACATCATATGCTGCTCGCTTCCTTGTAATTGTAATATTTTTATATGGCACAGTAAAACACTGTGAAAGCATTTATTAATTCACCACTGAGAAGCAAGAAAGCACTACTGCCCTTGGATTATAGATCAGAAAACAGTAGCAGAGAGATTATATGATTTGCTCAAGGCTATAAAACCAGACAGTTTCAGATCATGTTCATTTCCAAAGTCTGCACTGGGTCTGCTAATCCTTACTTGTCTATCTATATTCAAACACTTCTTTTACCAAGAATGAAATACAAAACTGGACTGACAGTAAGTATGTCTGTAAGGAATTACACCTTCCACATTTCCTATATGCTTCTGCTTTATTTGACAAGCTTGACTCTTTGGTCTCTTTTTAACCTGAACAGGTCTCTGGCGGCTTCTCACAAAAGGTAAAAGGAGTCACCTTTACCACAAAAAATAACAGCAGAGCAGATTGAAAAAGATACAAGCCAGATCTGCAAGTCATACTGAATCCAGAGGCAGCACTGGGACCCCAAACTACACAGCATTTGCCCAGGATGAAAGCAGGATTTGTTCACTGCCTTAACTACACGAAGTTCTCCTTCCTTCCTACAAGCAACATCTCTTCCTTCTTTAATTCAGCTTCAGCCAACTGATTTTGATCTGCAGGCTTATCTCCCCTAAGTTTTGTGGCATCTGTGTCATGGCACTGATTGCATCAGCTGAAAAAGAGACATACGAGCTGGTTGCCATCAACAGATTGATGGTATCATAGCCCTGGGCTCCTCATGACCTTTCCTACAGCTCTTCAGCACATGATGAAAAGGAAAAGAGACAGGACCAGCCCCTGTAGGACTTTACGTGGGAGTGGTCTCAGAGAAGAAGCACAGCTGTACATTGCTTTTCTCCAGCTGATGTCTGTCAGAGGGGAGAGCCTGAAGGCAGCTTTCCACTCCTGCAGCCTCCTCAGCACCTGACAGCCGGGCTGCAGATGCAGCATATCCATACACATCAACTAACAAGTTCCACGGAATACCATTAGCCACCATAATCATGGATACGAAGGTGCAGCTGTTACATAAAGTATTGGTTTTTAGGTCACACGTTCCAGTTTTCATACTTTTCCATGGACTCTTTTTAACGCTATTTTAAAATACACATCATGAGTCTCAAGGGACAGTTGTCTGTTACCCAAGCTATGACATATTTACGTTTTTCTCCCAGTTTGCTCACTGCAGTCAATGGGAATGGCATGGAGGCAAGCTGGGATAGAGTTCAGTGTCAATGCTTTAATAGCAATGCTGTGCAACGATCTTGTATGCAGCATGTAACTCAGGGCCTCCATTTCCTACATCATACCCGTTTACATTTCAGAGATCTAGAAGGATGGTGGACTGTTTGTACAGCCCTTGCACGAAGAAAAATACACATATGCTGTGTACTTTCATGAGAACTTTACTTTTGTACTTTATGGTGGTTGTTTCCTTCATTCTAGAATAAAAGTACTTTGGACCACAGGTAGACAGATGCTCTTTATATATGAGAGGAAAAAAAACAGTCAGTACTGCAGGAGTCAGTTAAAAGTTGAGTACAGATATTTTCCAGATATTTCCTCCTAGATATTTTCCATTACAGTTTTTATTTCTTTTTTTAAGTCTGAGTCTGCATGCCCCCTTACATTTAAGAGGCCCTACTGTTAAGAACACTGTCGTTTCTTTCACTGAGTCTCCAAAGCTGGATATAACGTGTTCCTGAGTAACATAAAAACCTTCTACAGTACAGGCACCTTGCTGGCAGGTAGTAGATAATTTATGTCTCACAGTTACCTGCAGAGAGAATAGTTTAACCAAGATTAAAACAACCATTGTAGTATAGCTGTTGTGCACTGACTGCAGCACTGCTGCAAATTCCCCAAGTACTGTGATCAACAGTTTTCCAGTGATTTGCAGAAGCTTCATAAAATATTTATAAATATTATATTATAAATATAATATAAAATATTACTGTATCATCAAGGAAGAATCTGAACAACGAGCTTGTGAAGAGGTCTGAGATCTGAATCTGAATTCAATGAGGAGTCCAACCACAGGTTTCCTGCATGAGGATTTGCATGTCGTGATCTACAGGGGTCTGACATCTCCACCTGTAAATCAAAAATAGGTGCATTAGTGCAGATTAGCCAACACCTCTTGGATTGAGATGACCTACATACTCTAGTAACAGGGGTCTGGCTGGTTATTTTGGAACAATATAGGTTGCTATTCTGCTGGCCAAAGGCATTGTATACAATCAAAATACTATTCAGTGTAAAACAATGTTTGCACTACTGGCCTCAGTATTCAGTGGAGCTGTATCCATTCACAGTAGCTAAGCATCTGCCTCCATATTCTATCTAAAAATGTGTTAACATTCAACCATCAGCATATATTTGCTGCAGATGATGTTCTACCAAAATATTTTTCATACATCTATCCTATAAGAATATAACCAATACATCCAATGTATACATATTCAGTACTTTTCCCTCTCCATATGTAGATAGATAACTTTAAATCTACTTTTATTACACATATATTATTGCACACATATACATGATATAC